CCTTGAATACTTCAATGCACATCATAAGTCAGAGCTGAGTGTTCACATTTAGCCACTTCACTCACTCAGACCTCCTGTACCTACAGAACATAAAGAGGAGAACACTCCCAAGACAAATGTCCCTGGGATGGTATTTAAGGTTTAATGCAAAGCTCAGCTGAAGTTGGAGGACTCTCCTCACACCCACCAGGACTGAAAACTTGTGTCAAGTGAATGATTCCCAAGGGAATGATCCCAAGCACTCACCACTTGATTCTGAGCCCATATTGATACGACCCCACTGGAAATAGAGGCTATGATGGGTCTGACAGGATGCCACTGTGTTGATGGGAAAGAAGAGAGAAGAGACACTTCATCAGCAAATAGAACTAAGAAATGAGTTTGTAAAATAAGCAGAAACACATGGAGAGTGGAGATGTCTTACTGCTACATCCAGGAGCAGCTCTCCCCTGGTTCCATGGAGGATCTTCACCAGGTTCCCAATGCTCTTCTCCCAGATGTACAGGGCATGTTGTCGTGCTGAACCTGCCACGATGTACTCCCCATCCCCAGAGAAACAGCACTTCTTCCAGGGGGTCCTGGGGGCACAGGGAGGCCACAGCTTAACACACAGACCAGTGTGGAGGATTCTGGAAGGGTCTAATCTTCTCACTGAGACCTTACACCCTTCCCAGCCATAAAGAGTTCAAAGTGTGCCAGGCAGGTTTCAAGGGAGAAACCTGTCATGACTTGGAGACTGAACCACCCTTGAGTCAGAGACTCCCATCAGTGCTGAGCACACAGACCTCACTTTCCATGGCATATCCTGAGTTGGAAGAGACCCACAAGGATCATCAATCCAACTCCTGTCCCTGCACAGACACCCCAAAATCTACCTGAGAGTGTCTGAGAGTGTTGGCCAAACACTCCTGGAGCTCTGTCAGGCTGTGAGCACTGCCCTGGGGAACTGTTCCAATGCCTAAGTGGGGAAGAACCTTGTCCTGATATCCAACCTAACCCTGTTCCAGTGCCCAAACACCTCTGGGAACAGAACCTTCTCCTCATACCCAACCCAAAGCAGTTCCAGTGCCCAACTCCCTGTGCTGAGGGGAGGCTGAGCAGCCCATCCCCTCCTGCTGCCCCTCACCTGTTGACTAAGTCCTGCAGCTTCTGCATGGGCTCAGGCTCCCCATCCCTGCCACAGGTGAGGATCTCGCGGCCGTCGTAGACACGGATGATCCTGTCAGCAGTGTTGATGAGGAAGCAGCTGCAGAGAGGAGGGCACAGGGCATCAACACACCAAGAGAACAACCACATCTAGGTCAAGGAAAGAACTGTGGAGGGTTTGGTGCCCTGGGATGCTGTGTCAGTGCACCCTGTGGCTGTCACTGCCCTCTCCAAGGAGAGCTGAGCTCACCTCCCTTTCCGAGCGAACTCGATGGATTTGATGGCTGTGGTGTTGCTGGTCCCTGTGGTCACTCTGAAGGAAGCAACAAGATCCTGAGTGTCTGTTTTTAAGACCAAGATCTGAAGATTAAGCAGACAAAGAGCAATCAGTGTCTTCATCAGAACTCACTCCCCTTTAGGTACCTTGTCCCTAACCCTGCCAGGAGCACCCTCAGGGGCAGTTGGATCCTGTGGCTCTAGGGACATAAACATTGGTTGGTTTAGGTTGGAAAAGGAGCCACAAAGGCCTAAGTCTAAGATCACAGAATCATTCAGGCTGGAAAAGCCCTGAAAGGTCACCAAGTCCAATCTGTGACCCATCCCCACCTTGTCAATTAGAGCAGAGCACTGAGTGCCATATCCAGTTGGTCCTTGAACACCTCCAGGGATGGTGACTCCACCACCTCCCTGGGCAGTTCCAATGCCTGACAGCCCTTTCCATGGAGAAATTCCTCCTGATGTCCAACCTGAACCTCCCTTGGCACAGCTTGAGGCTGTTCCCCCTTGTCCCCTGGGGGCAGAGCCTGACTCCACCTGCTGCACCTCCTGGCAGGTACATTGGAGTCTAATCCTCAAAGCTAAACATGATGCTTCACTCAGAAGACCCTACCAATCATTGCAGGGACATGCAGGAAACTTTACTTGTGCATGAAAGCAAAGAGAGCAGCCCAGAAACACTCAGCATGTGGCTGGAGAAAGGCAGCAGTGGAAGGTTTGGCCCCCCGAGGTGCCTGCTGGGGCCTCACCTTGCCCTTGGCATTGCCTGTGTAGATGTATTCCCCTCTCCTGTCGAAGGAGGCCACAACGTTGAGGTCAGAATCATCATCCACAGGCAGCACAACGTGTTTGGAGTCTGACAGGGTCAGCATCACTGGGGCTGACTTCATGGGACACACCAGCACTCTGTTCCTGCAGGGAGAGGGACAGGAGCCAGTGGTCAGACAATCATGGGATCACCAAGGCTGGGACAGACCTTTAAGATCATCAAGTCCAACCATCACTGTAACCCCTGAACCACTAACCCACATCACCCAGATCCAGACACCTCTTCAACACGCCCAGGAATGGTGACTCCACCACCTCCTGGGCAATATTCCAAAGCCTGAACTCCTCAACAGGGAGAAATCCTCTCTAACATCCAATCTGACTCTCCCCCAGCTCAGCTCAAGGCCATTCCCTCTAGTTCTCAGCCTGCAGGTCTGGCAGGAGACAACAATTTCTCCTTCTCTCCAACCTCCTCCCAGGCAGTTGTAGAGAGCAATGAGGTCACTCCTGAGCCTCCCACACACTGTTCCTTCTCTGTAAAAGGATTCCCACACTTAGAAGCAGCAAAATATCTCAGTCTCTCAAGAAATACAAAACATCTCTTCGTTCTTATCATCTTTGTTCCTCTAACAGCAAAAGGACATTTTGAACTGGTGTCAACTTTCATTTCCTTTGGACATTTCTCGATGTTTCTGGAGCAATTTTAAACTCAATGAGAAGTTTATAGACACATTTCCAAGGCTCATTCCTTTCTTTCATTCCATCCTGACACTTGGATGACAAACAGAACTGACACCTCACAACACAGAGTCACAACTGATCCAAACACAAGACCTAACCACAAAATCACTTATTAAACTGGCTCAATCCCTTTACAACACCAATTCCACCCAGCTGGGAGCACCCAACCCTTGCCCAGATGACTTACTGGTCCCTGGGGTGGTACTGGACTTTGAGGATGGGAGAAGGGAAGCGAAATCGCTGGTCACAGTCCCCTGAGAGCACATCCCACTGCGACACGATGTTGTCAGTCGAGGCACTCACCAACTTGTGGCCATCCCTGCTCCAGCTGCAGCAAAAATCCAACAAAAATCATGGAATCACACACTGGTTTGGGTTGGAAGGACCTTAATATCATCCCATCCCACCCTCTGCCATGGGCAGGGACACTTTCCACCAGCACAGGTTGCTCCAAGCCCCATCCAACCTGGTCTGGAACACTCCCAGGGATGGAGCAGCCACAGCTGCTCTGGGCAACCTGTGCCAGATATCAGCATCCTCAGGGGGTGGAATTCCTTCCCAATATCCCATCTCACCCTGTGTCAGTGTGACACCATTCCCTCTTGCCCTGCCACTCCATCCCTTATCCCAAGTCCCTCTGCAGCACTCCTGGAGCCCCTTTAATCACTGGCAAAGAGCTCTAAGCTCTCCCTGGAGCTTCTCCTCTCCAGGCTGAGCCTCCTAGAGCTGCTCCAACCCTCGGATCACCACTGACAACAATCCTAGTCCTCCCAGCCCTGGATTCCCATGGGGAGCACTCCCAGGGCTCCGTACCAGAGGGAGCAGACAGGGTGGATGTGTGCACTGATGATCTTGGCAATGCCCCTGGTGAGGAAGTCCCAGATGACGATCCTGCCGTCGTTGCAGCCCACGGCGAGCAGAGTGCCCCAGCGGTTGAAGGTGCAGGTCAGGGCCATGCTGATGCAGTCCAGGGTCCCATCGGCCTCCTGAGGGGCAGCAGGGCACGGGAGGGGTCAGGGGTGTGTGGGGCTGGGCAGGGTCCCCAGGAGGGGCAGGGGAAGGGGCAGGGCCTTACCTCGGGGTAGTTCTGGCCGAAGGACTCTGCGAGGGGAAGGGAAGGCACAGGGTGAGTGAGGTGACCCTGCAGCACTCAGACCTGGCTGGGGGGAAGGAGCAGCTCCAAACCACCCACAGATGGACCCAGCTGGGCCCTGTGCCATCCCCATCCTCATTCCCAACCCTCAGTCCTGCTCCCTGCTCATTCCTATCCCCATCCCATTCCCAGCCCCACAGCTGCCAAGTCCTGTTGCCTCCCAGCACCATCCCCTGCCTGGTCCCATCCTTATCCCAGCCCATCCCCATCCCAGCCCCTGTCTAATTCTCATTCCAATCTCCATCCCTATTCCAATTCCCATCCCTATCCCTCTCTCCATTCCCATTCCCATGCCCATCCCCATCTCTGTCTCCATTCCCATCTCTGTCTGCATTTCCATTCTCATTCCCTCCCCCATCTCCATCTCCATTCCAATTCCCATTCCCATCTCTGTCTGCATTTCCATTCTCATTCCCTCCCCCATCTCCATCTCCATTCCAATTCCCATTCCCATCTCTGTCTGCATTTCCATTCTCATTCCCTCCCCCATCTCCATCTCCATTCCAATTCCCATTCCCATCTCTGTCTGCATTTCCATTCTCATTCCCTCCCCCATCTCCATCTCCATTCCAATTCCCATTCCCATCTCTGCCATCTGTCTGCATTTCCATTCTCATCCCCATCTCTACCTCCATTCCCATTCCCATCTCTGTCTGCATTTCCATTCTCACTCCCATCCCCATTCCAATTCCCATCCCTATCCCTCTCCATTCCCATTCCCATCCCCATCTCTACCTCCATTCCCATCTCTGTCTGCATTTCCATTCTCATTCCCTCCCCCATCTCCATCTCCATTCCAATTCCCATTCCCATCTCTGTCTGCATTTCCATTCTCATTCCCTCCCCCATCTCCATCTCCATTCCAATTCCCATTCCCATCTCTGTCTGCATTTCCATTCTCATTCCCTCCCCCATCTCCATCTCCATTCCAATTCCCATTCCCATCTCTGTCTGCATTTCCATTCTCATTCCCTCCCCCATCTCCATCTCCATTCCAATTCCCATTCCCATCTCTGTCTGCATTTCCATTCTCATTCCCTCCCCCATCTCCATCTCCATTCCAATTCCCATTCCCATCTCTGTCTGCATTTCCATTCTCATTCCCTCCCCCATCTCCATCTCCATTCCAATTCCCATTCCCATCTCTGTCTGCATTTCCATTCTCATTCCCTCCCCCATCTCCATCTCCATTCCAATTCCCATTCCCTGTCTCCACTCCCATTCCCATCCCCGGTCTCTTCCCGTGCCTCTCCCATCCCAGTCCCCGCGCCCCCGCGCCCCATCCCGCTGGCGCTCGCAGTCGGCGCCGCTCCCATCCCACCGCCCTGACCGAGCAGCTCCAGGTTCATCTCGCTCCGTCTC